GCCTCCACATCCATCCTCTCCACGGTATGCTTCTCTTCATCTTACATGTTACTGCCTCCACATCCATCCTCTCCATGGTATGCTTCTCTTCACCTTACATGTTACTGCCTCCACATCCATCCTCTCCATGGTATGCTTCTCTTCATCTTACATGTTACTGCCTCCACATCCATCCTCTCCATGGTATGCTTCTCTTCACCTTACATGTTACTGCCTCCACATCCATCCTCTCCATGGTATGCTTCTCTTCATCTTACATGTTACTGCCTGCACATCCATCCTCTCTGTAGTAGGACTAGTATTACAGCTTTCTCTTACATCATCTCTGTGGTAGCCTACGTCATCCTAAATATTGATGAAACTCCAAGTGCATCCAAAAATAACGAAATGTAAGAAAAACAAAGAAAGCTAAAGGTAGCTCACGCAAAATGGCCAAAACGCTACTATAAATGTCATGTCATTGTAAAATTTATTGTATGTCTGAGAAGGAAAGTGAGATATTTTACAATCTGTAGTGGCTTGCTATGTATGTGGTGAGCACTGCGTAAGCAGCAGAGTTTATTTCGTAGTATGTGCTCAGGGGTACCAATAACGAGATCAAGCGAATGATGTAACACAGAAAACGCGTGTGTGTGTGTATGTGTGTGCGTGTGTGTGTGCGTGCGTGCGTGCGTGCGTGCGTGTGTGTGCGTGTGTTGGTACGTGCATGTGTAGTTAATGAATCTTTCACGGCAAGGTTTATAATATTCCACCTCATCGTTACCTTTCATTTATTAAAGATTTGCGAATTAAGAAGCGCAGTAACATTTTTTCCCAATGAAAGTCAATCATACCTAGTATTTATTTAATTCATTCTGTGCTAAGCATACTATAAAACGTCTTGTAATAACTATGTACGTATGTAGCAATGGCGACGATCATAATATGTAGCAATGTATTACTTCGTTGTGATATATCCAGTTTTTTTATGAAGCATTTTGTGTCGCTAATATTTCATAGTGTATGGTTGACAAGGTTGTTTCTTTTTGATAGAATGTGGAACAAACAACAGATCATGCATTAGAACGGGAGAGGAAGTGCTTGACCAATTCAACTTCAAGAAGGTAGCATATATGTCTAGAAGGTTTTGCTGTCCCTTTTAATGTAATATTGATTCTTTCTTACATTTCAATTTACTCAGCATCTGCATTGTTCAATGGAGTTCTTTATCAGTAATTGTTATCAGTATTGCTAGTTAACATATATAGTGTTACACCATGATTATTACAAAATCGTCTGCAATTATGTGCATTCAAAAGTAACCTTTCCTACATGATGACATTTTATATTGGCTTGTTTACGCGCATTTATTTATCAATGTATTTACACAGACGTTTGATACATTTTAAATAGTAATCGTAAAAAATATAAAAGATTTAAATAGATGAACAAAATTGTAGATTAATATAGATAGCGGCTGCACACAAAATCACATACACTAAATCATAATGGGTGTGTTCCCATATGTTCCACTCAATAAGGATATGTGGGTATAATAACGAAATGTAATGAATATTAGTAAAATGGCCATGGGAAATGTGAGTAATAGCGATGAGGGAGTCTGTAGAGTTCCCAAGGATCACACACACCCGTGAACATTTGCATTCAACACTTCTCATTATTGAACTAATCTCACTATCTAACTGACGAGAATACAAGAATCTCTCGGCCCCTGACAGAATCGAACGTTTGTAAGAAAAAACAAAATTGTGGCTTTCTTTACCATTGAATAGTCTTTAAGTTGTCGTTTTTATATAGGAAGCAGATTGTACAATTGTAACACGTTGCAGGATAACATGGGTTTCGACATCGGCTTGCTGTTCGTGCTGATATTTGGCTACAGGCTGATTGGATACCTTTTGCTCTTGCTGCGGACCAGAAAATCCAACTAACCTCCGTGCTCAGAACGCCGGCAGGCAGCCCAACCAGGCAGCGCCCCGCGATCAGTAACCAGACAGACTATTTCACGTATAGCTAGCTAGTTAGCTAACAGTGAGTCTGACTCACTCGTAAATGGATGATGAATAAATGAAATGTGTAATTGCATTTGTGTGGATGTGAAACATCTATCGTTAGCAGCGAAACTATGCAGGGCCTTTAACGCACGTGTCATTCTGCGTCCATCTAAATGATGTCAATTACACGAATTTTCTGCGTTTATTAAAATCTGATGCAATGTAGTAAGAATCATGCGATTCGATCCCCTGCGGTTCGTGGCGCGAAATGGTTGAACAGTGAGTATGACGTGGTAGTTTAATGTAGAGTGTGTTTTGATGTCGTATGATTCTTTGTGTGCCGCCATGCCATTATGATCACGTTCAGTGATTCGACACGCGGCATTTTGCCCGACCATTTAGCTGTCACATCTACAAAAGAACTGGAAATACGCCGGTTCGGAAACAGCAAGAGTTAATGTGTTAGTTTTGTGCGTGCACTTACCAAACTATGCAGAGTAAGGGGCAGCATTGTTTCCGTTACTGACACCGAAATCACGTGGAAGTCTTACAATTTACTAGTTTAGAAAGTAGACATGAAATTTCCGTTTGCCTATCGATCTGTATTCTGAAATAGTATTGTGATAAGTGTATTAATTACGCAGACAATAAGTGAAAGTAAAATTGCATATTGAGATCTGTACGCGGCAACGTTTCTGTATTGTTAGTGCATTAGGGCATTAGTTAGTGTACGTTGCTATCCATTGGTCACAGCCTATAGTTTGGTTCTATAGTCTTCATAGTCTATTTATCTGATTGTTGAAATAGCAGATGAAATGTTATTTATGTGTACTATGAATTAAAATGTCCTATTGACATTTCTAAACGTGATACTTTAATATAATGTCGAATTTTGTTACCAATCAAAATACCACCTGTAACTGTTTGATAGTCAGTCACTATATCCCGTATATATTATTATTGTTGCATGTTGCGCCTACTTTATTGTACGTATAACAATAATTGTTTTGATATCTGTGAAATAGTATAATTTTATATACATGAATGCACGAATTAATATAATGTATAATAAATCGTCATGAAATTGTGTTTAAAAATATTAGTTAAAAAATTTAATTAAATATAAGTAAAAATTTAATAAAGTTATTTCACTGTCACATATAAACTGTTTTTTTTTTTTAGCTTTGTGACGACAAGCGTTCGTAAAAACGACAAATTGTGTTCTAACAGAGGCCATATGAGAAGGGACAGTGTAGTGAATGACGGGGAATGTGCAAAGGAAAAGAGATACATTCTACTCGAATTTTGCTATGTGGGTTAATACATGTAATTAAAAGCCACTAATTTGGTTTAACCAGACTATCCTACGTGCTAAACTATTCTGGCTATATATCGAAAGTAATATGGTCTTGTTTTCACACCCAAAGGGTCAACGAACGATGTTAGCTGTCAACTGTTCAGGCCAGAGTTATTAAATGTCACTTCCTATCAGCATCCCCGCAGCCTAGCTCCAATGTCCGTCCACCCATCTCTAGCAGCCAGACGAAGACACAAGGAGCTGTAAGGTTAGGCTTAAGCACCATCCTAGATTTGTGTATTATTTGGAGATGGAGTTGATACAAGAAAGTTTATGAAAGATTGGAACGTATTAACGTATATGTAACCTGCCATGATTGTAAACTTTCCGCCATTTCATTTAATTTTTTCATTTCTCTCTCCATTATCCTTGCCCAGTAATTTCCTGCTATCATATGCCATTTTTATAGACTCCTGCCTATATGGCTTCCTTCTCTGGACATCATCTCTGTTTTTAGCTCACCTTGACATCGTCAAGCTGAGCTATTGCCATGGGTCGTCGTCCGTCGTCACATTCGCTTCGGATCAACGATAATCAGGAACCGTTTTGGCCAATGTTGAAATTGCTATGAGTTGTTACTGGTATGCGTCCTATTAAACGTCCTATTTGAAGACGCCAGTACGACGCTACTTTTCGAGCACCGCGCAATTTTTGGCACAACATGGATTGCCATCGTCAGTTCGGTTCAACGGATTTCTGTCATTTTGGTATGTGAATGAATATATGCTAGGGTTTTGATATTAAAAAAAATTATGAAACTAGGTTAGGGTATTGCAATTATATAGATATTTATAAGACACAAACAGTCTGTGGTGTCACACTCGGTCTGGTTCGTTTTACAAGATTTCATTGGACAATATCTTTAATGCAAATTGGTATTCCTTTTCACCTGCCGATAAAAACCCTATATTAGAGTAAAGATTTACAAAAATGTCGGAACGCAGCCATAACTAATTTATTTCAAACGCCATCGCTACAAAGCGGGTTAAGCGCCATCTACGTCACAAATTGTGATCATTTTGGTTTATAAATTATTATGCGTATATACAGATGCAAATCGTTCTCTATAATGTGACGTCGATGCGTTGTCAATAAAAACTAAACTTCTTCTTACTCACTCATTTGCTGTCCTTTTTTGTGGTGAGGCTACAGTTCATTGACATTTCTTTTCTTTACCATCCTGCCCTATTCTCCTGACTCGTGCCTCTGAATGTGTGCTTCCCTTGGCCATTCGCTTCGTCTTCGTTATTCTGATTAGATGCTCCTATAGTAAAAACATAATTACGGCAAAGTAAATTCGAGTACAGGCAGTGGAATTGCGATATTTATATACTATATAAATAGTATTTAATAATGAAACTATTTCTGGTTTAATGTCACATTGAATTTCTATGATGACAGTATTTTTACGGAGTGAGGAAGGGATAGGGGGATAACGTGTGCAAGGTCTTTCATCTTCATTTCGGTTTTCCTCTCTGGTCTCCCTTTTTCGTGTTTACTCGCTTCGACTTAGTTGCTTACACGCGTTTTCCCCACCTTCTCCCTTATATATTTTACACGTTCGTAACTCTTCTTCCGTTGTTCTCTTCTGTTGTACTGTCTCCTTTTACCCCTCTTGTTTCATCTTTCCTTCCTCTTTTGGGCCATCATCCGAGAATGAAATTTTTCTATATTATTACATTATACATTCATTCAGAAAAATGTTTATTTATTTCATTTTTACGGTGAGGAGAAGACATAGTTCCCGGAGGCAGTTTTGGGGGACGGCACGAGCTTAGTTTATTCCCAATTTTATAGCTTATCGCATTCAATATATGAATATAGTTGTGTTAGTATAGCATAAGTATAGGGAGCCCCCCCCAACTATTACGTCATGTTATTGTTGCACACTATGCATGCATGAAGCCTTTAACAGAGTTACAACCATATGGCCCGTGACATCAGTACGTGGTAGAGGCAGCTAGAAGCCGCATGATCTGGTTTATCGAGGTCACGCATATCATACGCCGTCTATGAAGTATGCTGAGATGACACAGCATAACAGCCCTGTACCTTCTACTGTCAGTTCCGTATTGTTATGTAATTGTGCACCGATGACGTTCACGTATTTAAATCAATTTTATGATTTTATATTCAACTGCATAGCAATTATCAGGCAGTCGTGGCGTACTGAAACCCGTAAGTTGAAGTTGGGTCGTGCTTGAGTAAACAGTTTACCATCGCCGCGCTTACATCGCGCAAGACCTATAGGCATAATTATACTGCATGAGTAAATGCATACGTGTGGCCTAGGTCGACTGAGCATGGGTGTATTCATATATATAGATCACATGATATAATATATATATATATATTATATATATTAATAGTATATATATATATATTATATATATAGTTCAGCAATTTTCTCTGTAAAGTAGTAAACCCACTATTCATGTACTAGCACGCCAATGTTCAAGATCATCCTGGATAAATATATAGCTGCGACTAATTTCCGGTGGCAAGTTTTCTGTTCTGGACAATTTTTCCAGTGATAAATTTTCCTATCACGTTTACCACCTACAGGTATCGTAACCATCATTCATCGCCATATATATTCCTGTGTCGAATAAATAAAATCCTCGGAACTCCACTGTGCGTACAACTTCGTCCACAGTGACGCACTGATGTCTGTAAACATATTCTATGCCATTTCATTCGTTACATAATTATTGTAGGGTTCGGTTACATGATATGAACTAACGTAGGCGCGGGGAAAACGTGTAGCGTCGAATTCTCTATATCATAGAAGCTGTTTCAATTATCCAGTTTTCGCTATCCATTGTTTTGTTGCATGATTTGAGCATGACGTAGGCCTTATTTGAAACATAGAAAAACATGTGGCCTACATACATTCGTAGGCTGGGCAAATGGCGTTTATGTACTATATATATATATCGCTGCCCGCAGCTATCAGTTGGTTTCGTGAGACTCGGAGAGAACGATAGGGTGCGGCATCTATTTTCTCTACACACACAGTAAGGCAATGTCTAACGTAGCAATGACTAATTCGCTTTAATTTTTCTCTGCTTTTATCGAACGCGCACCCGATGGCATTTTACGGTTTGCTATGCTCTATCGACTGTAGTTAGTCACAAGTGTAAATATGAAAGATGAGTCATTAAGTATGCGTGTATTTGGTGTCGTTAAGGTGATCTTACGGAAGGCATTTACGACTGATCGGTAGCGCAGCAGGATGGAGTTTCTAGTCCAATCGGAAACTCCATGCATGATACATGAAGCTTTCCCATAAGCCTTGGGAGCGTAGTCGAGACAAGCGGTTGGTGTGATTGTGACAAGCAAGCATTGCTGATTATTGTCAGCGTAGTAGGATATCAAAACTACATTGGCAGCGAAAACGTAGTTCTATACGTTAAACTAGGATATGGATTAAACATTTTTATTCACACTTGATGGTGCCGTCTATATACGATAACGAAACGCGTTGGGACTATAATGCTTCTTAACCGTATGTTGATGTTAATGGCATTTGATACCTATGTAGCACAACGTGTAGGTGAGTGTTTTATTGCAATGAATGTGGACCAGCACTCGTTTCGGTGTAACTCGCTCTCAGCAGGGAGGCAATTCCGTGCGCGCGGTTAATGTTTGATCGCGGTTAGGGGGGCGGGCGTGGCTTTGAACTTGCCTTAGTTTGCTTTTTCGCGTTCCTCTCAAGCGCTATGAAATGTTCTTTGTACACGCGACGCATGCATTTGTCTTAGCGTAACCTGTCTATTAGCCATTACACGTACCTTCTATTAGCTTGACGATCTTCTTAGCATTAGACCCTACTTTCTTATTAGCATTAGACGTATCTTCTATTAGCATTCGACCTACCTTCTATTAGCATTAGACGTACCTTCTATTAGCATTAGACGTACCTTCTATTGCATTAGACTACTTCTCGCTGCACCAATGCAATATATATGATAATAAAGGCCGATATCGGTAGTTGAGCGCACGCGTCACGCAAATTTTATTGGCTCGTAAACGTAAAATAATTATATTGTCAGGGTAGTGTGTGGTTTCCTCTCGTGGCATCAGGATGTCAGGAGCGTGCGCGGGCATACATGACACAATTCAGCACATATTGCTCGAAAGCGATTCGCCATGCTAGCTATACGCAATGTCCTTGTGCTAATCGTTTGCTAGCAGATACCTCCTCTTCGCAAGTTTGGATGAATTCGATCTGGAGGTGGCGGTACATACGGTGTATTTAGCACCACGTAGATATGCCGTTTCATGTGTATTAATGTTCAGACGTATAACGGAACGCTAGTTATTTACCAATATTTACACATATTTCCTACTTTTGGTGACGGAATAGGACTGAACCCTGCCCCTTACTACTGCCCAGAACAAATGCTAACTAACTCGATCGACATTGCAGAATATGATACCATCAGAGAGTAAAATTACGAGCTCACTAAAAATGCAGAATTTCTCCCTGTCAGTAGAGTGACCTGGCCCTAGATATGTATGCAGCATAATTTATGAGAGGATATCTAACTGTTATAGGCTATAATGACCCCAAGGAACAACTTGTCGATGGTGTGCCAATATCTCTATCCGGGCGCGAACACCCGAAAATGACCACGCCTTTTTATGAAATGCTTACTACCGACATAGCTGATTCATTCTAAACCGCTGGAGCTAGAGATTTTCTGCGGGCTGCTCAAAATGT